TAAATCTTACACACCACTTAATCTACACGAAACTAATATACTCCCACCCACATCCAAACTTACATCACAAATAACATACAAATATGGAACCAAAAGCCTTTACATGGACGATTTCCACAAGAGGTTAGCCAGGGTTGTGTTGATTCTATAGCAACGCACAGTTGGTTGTCTGAATGTGATATCTTCCCGGAGACTGAGGGTTTCATGTTAGCAATACAAGACCAGGCCATTAACACACGTAACTATAAAAAACACATACATAAAGACAAAACAGTGACAAATGATTCTTGTCGACTCTGTTCACAAACATCAGAAACAATCCAACATATAATATCGGCATGCACACGACTCGCACAAACTGAATACAAACATCGACATGATCAGGTAGCTAAAATCATACATCAAAAATTAGCACTTAAACACAATCTCATAACAGATACGACACCATACTACAAATATACGCCACAGATCATACTTGAAAACAACACACACAAATTATATTGGGACAGGACACTACTCACAGACAAAACTATCCACAATAATAGACCAGATATTACACTTATAGATAAAACACAAAAATTCATTTGTATTATAGACATTGCCATACCCAACACTAACAACTTAACTAAAACACATGCAGAAAAACACCGCAAATACACCGATATAGCTATCGAGCTTAAGACGCAATGGAGAATGAAATCTACTGTTATAGTTCCCATTATTCTTAGTGCTACCGGTGTTATACCAAAGACAATACACCACAATTTACAACTATTAGGTTTAAACAAAAACACATACAAACATTTACAAAAAGCAGTCATTATCAACACATGCCATATTGTTCGTAAATTTCTAAACATAACACAAGATACTACATACACAAATGACCCACAACGTATACATGTAAACAACAGTACTCGCTCACAACACGGTACACAACATACTGTAATATCTCCACCTCTAACCCAAACAAACACACAAATACAACTTACCGAGCAAACAAGTACAACAAATGATACAATATATACTACAATCAGAGATTCACCTCTGAAGCAAACCACATTATCACGACCCATTAGTATTCAACCCAAACGCAAAAGCCTAAACAGCACTTTAGACTCACAACATGACACACAACATACTGTAAAATCTCCACCCTTAACTCAACCAACCACACAAACACAACTTCCTGAACAAACAAACGCAATAAATACAAGTAACGCAACTTGCACTACAAAGACGCCCTCACCCAATAAAGTTACACGGCCTAGCACAGCTAAAAAACACAATACTCTTTCTTCTCAGAAACACACCACGTTATCACAACCCACTCGTACTCAACCCAAACGCAACAACCTTAACAGCACTACAGGCTCACAAAGTACTGTAACGTCTCCACCAATAACCCAAGCAACCACACAAATACAACCTCAAGAACAAAGAAACACAAGAAATACAAGTAACGCAACATGCACTACAAAGACAGGTCCACTCAATAAAGTTACACGCCCTAGCACAGTTAAAAAACATAAAACTCATTCTTCACAGAAACACACCACGTTATCACAACCCACTCGTATACAACCCAAACGCAAAAACCTAAACAGCACTACTAGCTCACAAAATACTGTAATATCTCCACGAATAACCCAAGCAACCACACAAATACAACCTCAAGAACAAAGAAACACAATAAATACAAGTATCGCAACATGCACTACAAAAACAGGTCCACCCAATAAAATTACACGTCTTAGCACAGTTAAAAAACACAATACTCCTTCTTCTCAGAAACAACCCACTCGTATACAACCGAAACGCAACAACCTTAAAAGCACTACAGGCTCACAACATACTGTAATGTCTCCACCAATAACCCAAGCAACAACACAGATACAACCTCAAGAACAAAGAAACACCATAAATACAAGTAACGCAACATGCACTACAAAGACAGGTCCACCCAATAAAGTTACACGCCCTAGCACAGTTAAAAAACATAAAACTCATTCTTCACAGAAACACACCACGTTATCACAACCCACTCGTACTCAACCCAAACGCAAAAACCTAAACAGCACTACTAGCTCACAAAATACAGTAATACCTCCACCAATAACCCAAGCAATAACACAAATACAACCTCAAGAACACCATAAATACAAGTAAGGCAACATGTACCACAAAGACAGGTCCACCCAATAAAGTTACACGTCCTAGCACAGTTAAAAAACACAAAACTCCATCCTCGCCGAAGAACACCACGTTATCACAACCCACTCGTATTCAACCCAAACGCAAAGCCAAAGAAACACTTACACAATAAACTCCATTTAATAAAATTACAGGAATTATTATAATGATTTTTTTTTGTTTTGTTTTGTTTTCCTCTTTCCTGATAGCGTTGGCTATTGTGCCCATCAATAGGTATGTTGGTTAAGTACGAATTACGTGTGTGATTTTTTTTATCTTTTATTTATTTATTTATTTATTTTTTTTTTAAGGACCCTACATAACTTCACCAGACACAGACACTAATCGTTACTTGATTTTAATCCGTGCGATTAGTTAACCAGGCTAGACCTGAGTTCTCACAAGATACACCGACCATAATAATAATAATAATGTTTATTGTTGTTCAACAGACTCATAATCCATATATGAACAATCACAAAAAAGATAAATGAATCGTTAAGCGCATACTGCATTATTAAAACTAGGAACTAATATTTAAAATAGAAAACATAAAATCAATATAAATATTGTAGTAGGTAATTGTAACTAGTAAAATAAATAAATACCTTTGACATTTAAGTTCTAAACTAAAAATAGAATATCGATGAAAAGAGAATTAAAAATAAATAAAGTAAAGAAAATGAAGCAAAAAAAGGATGATGACACGCTTTTAAGATAGAAAGCACAAACCAAAATTACAATGTTCAGTTAACCATAAACAAAGCTTAAAACATTGCATAATGAGTTGTAATGAATGTCACAGTTCTGGCAAATCTTATTAGGACATTATTAAGGAGGGAGTTCTGCGAAGGAGATTCGATTTGGGAGTAGGATATGTGAAGATTTTTAAGTGCCTAGTAGAATGCGTTGGTATGGTAAAGCATAGCTTGTGAAGTAAGTAGGGACAATCTAAATGACTATTGTCTGTTGGTTAGTTTGTAAAGGAACTTAATCTATTCGCGACTCGTCTCTGTTCCATTGAATAGGTGTTAAAACATGGTAACATCGTGTCCTGAGGAACACCACGTTGTGGATATTCACCATCAATTTTGAAAATAATGAATTTTAAAAATCTTCGTTGAATACTCTCAATGTCGTTTTTAGATGTTTTGTATAGTGGATACCATACGAGGTCGCTGCAGTACTCAAGCTTCGAGCGAACCAAGGAGTTATACAAACGAAATAATAAGTTGATGTTTTTAAACTGCTTAGTATTCCTTATGATAAAGCCCAGAGTTTTCATAGCTGAGGAGCAAATTAGATGTATGTGCTCCTTAAAGCTAAGACGGAAGTCAAATTTGATGCCAAAGATCTTTAATAGTTATTAATGCGGCTAAGCCAACTGTCTCTATATGATAATCATATGTATAGGTTTTCTCTTTCTTTAAATGGACAACACCTTACATTTATTTATATTCAGCTTGAGTTTATTATGAGCACCCACGGCAGTTAAGTTGTTGATATTATCGTTTTGTAAAACGGTAAAACAATCATCGGATGGAAGCTATTTTTGCAAAGATTTGAGGCATCCGCAAAAAATAAGGTAATTTACAGGAAAAAACAATTCGAAGATATCGTTTTACAAACTTAAAAACATAAGTGGCGCCCAGATTTGAACCCTTGAGGCCCAACCACCTGACGTTACTTCAAACATTTGTGAGCTGAAACCCATTGTATGTAACAAACTGAAAACGATCCATTAAGATAAGTGCGAAAAAAATGAATTAATTGACAACTAAAAACCAAAGCATTTTAGTTTTAATGTAACAGTATTGCATAGTCTATGGAGATGAAACGCCTTTGGAAAAGTCGGCAACATCACGTCAACTGGCCTGAGTATCCCAAGGGACGGGCAAAATTCAGTTGAAAGATGCCCAAATTTGTTAGCTGTGGACCTCTTTTTTCATAAATCCATGTTGGTGAGGAGAATTATTCTTTTGAACGGCAGGATAAATATAATTAAACATATTTGCTTTATAACGGGCACTAGTAATTAAAAACTAATTATATGATCATAGGAAAAAGTAGTTTTTGACGAGGACGTTGTGAAAACCACAACCGCACCGCACGTTATACGGCGAAATATCAATCTCTTACGACGAACTTGGGGTGGTTCACGCCCAGTCGGTGAGCTTTTAAAATTAAACAATCATTAGCGGAATATTATTTTGAATTTAATTAAAATAAATAAATGAACAAATTATCGTAATTTAAAGATCTAAATTCATAGTACATTATCTAAACGTCCATTTCGAGTAGGGAGTAACTGGAATTCCTATCTTGCACATGCGACATCGGAAAAATATGGGACCGATGTCAAGTTTTTTAAGCGCGCACCTTACGGATGTACTCTCGACATAATCGGCGGTTATTATCTGTAACTAATTTAAATAAGTATGCCTAATTATACTTATCCAAATAGTCGGAATGAAATCTCCAAATTCAGCAGTCCAGCAATACCCTTTTAGTCCTTGGAATGCGAGGTCAAGCGGCGCAATGGGTTATCGTATTAATCCATTCATAACGTCAACTTCATAAAATTGTTTGATCCGCTCTCTTCGTCCCTGGCCAGAGAGCTAGATGGTAACAGTTTGGTGTACGTAAATTTGGGTTTCCCACAGGATGTCTATCTTTATCA